TCGCCTAATTTCATCACCTTACACTTTCCAGAGTTGAACTTCAGCAGCCATTTTCTAGACCATTCCTCCAGTTTATCCAGGTCATCCTGTAGTCTCTGCCTATCTTCATCCGTCTTGATTCTTCTCATAATTTTTGCATCATCAGCAAACATCGAGAGGAATGAGTCTATACCCTCTGGAAGATCGTTCACATATATTAGAAACAGGATGGGTCCAAGTACTGAGCCCTGTGGGACTCCGCTGGTGACATCTCGCCACTCTGATGTCTTCCCCCTCACCGTTACTCGCTGTTTCCTGTTGCTTAAGTACTCCCTTATCCACTGGAGCACCTTCCCTTTTACTCCTGCCTGTTGCTCCAACTTTTTTAACAGCCTTTTATGGGGTACTGTGTCGAAGGCTTTTTGGCAATCCAGGAAAATGCAGTCGGCCCACCCTTCTCTTTCCTGCCTAATTTTCGTTGCCTGGTCATAAAATTCTATTAACCCTGTGAGGCACGATTTACCATCTCTGAACCCATGTTGGTGGTGCGTTACAAAGTTATTTCCCTCCAGATGCTCTACGAGCCTTTTCCTCACGATCTTCTCCAGCACCTTGCATGGTATACAAGTTAAGGAAACTGGCCTGTAATTCAGTGCCTCTTGCCTGTCACCCTTTTTGTATATTGGGACCACGTTAGCTGTCTTCCAACTTTCTGGTAAGTCTCCTGTTTCCAGTGACCTGTTATACACCATAGAGAGTGGCACACTTAGTGCTTCTGCACCTTCCTTTAGTATCCATGGTGAGATTCTATCAGGCCCAACAGCCTTTGTCACATCTAGCTCCAGCAGACACCTTTTGACCTCATCACTGGTGAGGTCAAATTCCTCCAAGGTTTCCAAGGTTGCCGCCTCCTCATTTAGTGCAGGGGCTTCTCCTTGTTCTATTGTGAAGACCTCCTGGAATCTCTTGTTGAGTTCTTCACACACCTCCTTGTCATTCTCTGTGTATCTGTTCTCCCCTTTCCGCAGCTTCATCACTTGTTCCTTCACTGCTGTTTTCCTCCTGATATGGCTGTGGAGCAGCTTTGGTTGGGTCTTGGCTTTACTCGCGATGTCATTTTCAAACTGTCTCTCTGCTTCCCTCCTCACTCTGATGTACTCATTTCTGGCCCTCTGGTACCTCTCCCTGTGTGTGTGTGTGTGTGTGTGTGTGTGTGTGTGTGTGTGTGTGTGTGTGTGTGTGTGTGTGTGTGTGTGTGTGTGTGTGTGTGTGTGTGTGTGTGTGTGTGTGTGTGTGTGTGTGTGTGTGTGTGTGTGTGTGTGTGAGTGTGTATTCACCTAGCTGTATTTACCTAGTTGTGTTTGCGGAGGTTGAGCTTTGCTTTTTCGGCCCGCCTCTAAACTGTCAATCAACTGTTTACTAACTTCTATTTTTTTATTTCCACACCACACACATATACACACCCCAGGAAGCAGCCCGTGACAGCTGATTAGCTCCCAGGTACCTATTTACTGCTAGGTAACAGGGGCAATCAAAGTGAAAGAAACTTTACCCATTTGTTTCTGCCTGGTGCGGGAATCGAACCCTCCCCACAGAATTACGAGTCTTGCGCGCTATCCACCAGGCTACCAGGCTCCGCGCGCCGCGTGTGTGTGTGTGTGTGTGTGTGTGTGTGTGTGTGTGTGTGTGTGTGTGTGTGTGTGTGTGTGTGTGTGTGTGTGTGTGTGTGTGTGTGTGTGTGTGTGTGTGTCTGCGCACTAATATTATATTGGAACAGAGATTAAATGCTTCTTCTGTCCTTCAGCTTCGCTGATATGTTGGAAACGCTGGAGAAATTTATTCTGAACAAGATTTATAGCGTTGGAAACAGATGTGCTGGGTGTCCACACATGGTGGAGTGGTGCCTCCTGCCCATGGTAGGGTGGTGCTCCGTGTCACTAATGGGGTGATGGTGGTGGTAGGTCGTGCTCACGGTGGTGTGGAGTTCTCTGCTCATGGAGGGTTGGTGTTCCCTTCCTGTGCTGGGATGGCTTTTCTTTTGTTATGGTGAGCGAAACAGAAATGCTTGGGTAAGTTTCTTTTCACCTGATGCCTTTGTTCACCTAGAGGTAAAATAGGTATACGAGAGTTAGACAACTGTTGTGGGGCTTTATCATGGATTAGGTCACTAGTTCGGCCTTGATAAAAGCTCATTATTCTGTATTTAAAATTTTCTTGCTTAGGGCTTCTATCCCTCTGACTAGTACTCTAGCGATATATATATCAGTCTGTGCTCTTAAGATTTCCCAACGTTATGAAACTCTCGTACCAAAGTGCCCTTATCCTAACCTACCATGGGACCCTAAACAAAAAACGGAACAGTATGTCAATTTCGCGAGCCGCATTTTTTTGTGCTAGTACATTTTTCAATGTACTAGCATTTTCTAGTACGATATTTTTGGCGTTAGGAAGACTATACGTCAAAATGCGACGTTCTATTAGGAAGACAGGTTGCATATATATATATATATATATATATATATATATATATATATATATATATATATATATATATATATATATATATATATATATATATGTGTTAGAATTATTAATCTTACTTTTTCGGTCATATTTAATAATATATGTCTACAGGAAAGACTGCTACCAAAATATATATATATATATATATATATATATATATATATATATATATATATATATATATATATATATATATATATATATATATATATATATATATATATATATATATATATATATATATATATATATATATATATATATATATATATATATATGGGGTGGTAGGAGAAAAGCACACAGAAACTGTATTGGAGGGGACCTACATTCCCTCCAATGCGTTATGTGTGGTTTCCTCCGAGGCTATGGGTCCCCCTTCTTCCAGCCAGAGGTGGTACTCCCTTCCCTTTTCTTAAAAAAAAAAATGACAATTATTATTGAGAATTATATTTTTTGCGATCATGACAATAGTTTCGTCTCAGAATGTATTTTTCTTATTAACACATGTGCATTTATTCTGCACCATTGAACGCCGCAGAACTCTACGGACTTCACAACCCACATTTAAATATATATTACAGAAATTATTTATTCACTTTTTATTGCTGGGGCATAACTACCTTTTACAGTGTTCTCTTTTGATTATTGTAAAAGGATATCTGATCAACACGCTTGAGAGTTAAACGTCAAGCAGCGTCGAACAGCCTAGTCGACCAGACCAACAGGCATGAGGCCTGGTCAGAGACCGGGCTGCTTGGTCGTTGATCGTCGGAATCATCGACAGGTGGTGTCCCCTGCCCGCTGATAGGTGACGTCCCCTGTCTGTAGCTGTGTGGTGTCCCCTACTTGTGGGAGAATTGTGGCCTTGGCCCATTGTGGAGTGTGTAGCATGCCAATGATGGGGAGGCGTCCCCTTCCCATAAAGGTAGCATATATCCTGTAAATGTTGGGGTGGTACCTCTGACCCATGATAGGGTGGTTGCACATATTCATGGTGAGGGGTGTCTCAAGCCAATATACTCGGATAATCGTTTTCAAGGATTACACCAGTGGTCATTAATTCACCCTCCTGATTTACGTATGCCACATAATCACAATTTATATATATTCAATAAATAAAACCAATTGACCAAATTACCTCAAGCATACCAGTTTCAAATTTCGTAAATACCATACTAAATCTTCACTAAGATTCATCCAGTATATTATTTTCTACATGGCGATTAAATATTAATTTTTAATGTAGTATATAAATTGATAAAGACAGTATTTAGTAAAGAAGATTTCAGTGATGAAAGGAAAGTCGTGAGGTGAACGGAAAGTGATGATGTGTAGGAAGGTGGTGAAGGGTAAGGAAGGTGGAGAAGGGTAGGGAAGGTCGTGAAAGGTAGTGAAGGTTGTGAGTTATATAGGAGATGGTGAGTATTAGAGAAGGTTGCGAGGAGATGGAAGGTAGTGATGATAATGGCTGTGAATGGGGAACCCGGATGTGTCCGGGTAGCAAATATAGTTACAGTGATGAGGATGGTCGTGTGTAGTGCAGATGGTTGCCAATCCACAAGGTGTCGCTATTCAAGTGCTATTCATCTATTCATATATATATATATATATATATATATATATATATATATATATATATATATATATATATATATATATATATATATTTATATATATATTTATATAATTATATATATATAAGAGAATTACTTCTCTTATATACACAAGAGAAGTAATTCATCACCGGAGGGGATCAAGATGTCTTCTCTGGGAGCTTTTTTAACTTCCTCGCCTCCCACACTCCTCGACACACATTCTCTTGATGTGTTTATAATTGTTGCTGTTGTAAGGATCGCTCCTCAAGCTGCTGTTCCTCAGGAATGCTGAGGGTAGCGCGCTGTGTTAGCCATGTGTGGTGCAGTATGTTGGGCATATGTTGTATGCTATATTGGCCATGTGTGGTGCGCTATGTTGGGCAATATGTTGCGCACAATGTTGGGCTGGTGCAGTGCGCTAAATTGGCTATGTGTAGTGGGCTATTTTTTACAACTCTTGTAAAATATATTTACATATATTTTACAAAATATATGTAAAATGAGCCTAACTAAACATACAGACACCATAAGGGTAACCAAAAACTGTATTACCAACAGTTGTCCACAACTTTTCAACCTTTGACCTACCAACGAGAACAATTTTGCCGGAACAATGGTTAGAGAGAATTAGACAAGTTCATTCAGAAGGTGCCCGTTCAGCTGGGTTGTTATTGTTTCGCCTCAGTGATCTGGCTATCACCAGAAGAGACTGGCCTCAGGCAGGTAGGCAAGAGAAGACAACAGGTGAATCACAGGCATTGATTATGAAAACATTCTATTCTCTATCATGGAATTTATTTGTATTTCTTGCAGAGGTCCAGGATCACTGAATCTCAACTGCTTGTCTGCTTCGCCATAGAATTAGAACTGCTACGACCTGTACATTAAGACTGAGGTACCTACCCACTTCATGTAGTTGATGAGGGAGTTGCCGTGTATCCACGTAATATCTCCGTCACACTCCAGGGGTGTGACGTCAATGTGTCGGGAGCGATCTAGGTCATCCAGAGCCTTGGCGAAGAGCTGGACTGCGTCGTACATGAGCGCCACTTCCGTCTGGAGAAGAGTCATCACATTTGAGTGACACATTTTACAGAGAAAAGTCTTACAACTCCCCCACTCACACGTCTCCACTCCGTGCTGAGGTATTCCCAGCTCCAATTCACAAGTATAGATGCAATGATTCCACTCACAGCTGAAAGATTTCCAGGTTTCACTCATAACTATAACACTCATAACACGGTTTCACAGCTGAATGACCCACAACTCTCATTCACAACTATAGAACTCTTGAGTACTACTCAAAACAGTAGAAACAATACACGTAATCACTACTGAATGAACCTCCCCCCCCCCTTAATCACATGGCGTGAATGAAGATTTCAGGACTTTTCTTCATTAGAGTGGGTGCTTGTGAAAGAAGCCAACAGGAGTGCTTTGCTGGTGCCTGTATCACCAATTAGCCTGGTTTCGCACTAATTTAAGCAGAGTGAATATTGAGCTACACTTTGAGAGGTATGATGCATCTTTTATCTGTAAGACCATTAACAGTGGGAACTAGCCGGCTTGACAAGTTAATTGGCAATTAGACCTAGGGAAGTTCACGTGAGAAGTCACAGGTAAAGAGAGATGACTCTAGCCTCTGAGTGAATTTACTCCTTTCATTCCCCCGGTGATCAGTAACCATTTCCTCTTTAGCTCAACAATTACTCTCCCATATCACATCTTCGTCACCCACTCTCTGCACAATTTCCTCCGCTTAACCACTTATCTCACTAACGTATCTCACTTAGCTCTACTCCTTCAGTGCCCTTCACTCCCAAGACTTCCCCTCCACTAAATTTTTCCCCTTTGCTTGGTTGACTGCTGGTCGAAAGAAATAATTTTTTTTAAGAGATAAGTATATAATGAATATGATTTTTTTTCAGTAATAATTTCAATTAAGGGATGAAAACTGGCTGTGGGTGTGATTAAATAAATAAATAAATAAATGTTTATTCAGGTAAAGTAAATACATACAAGAGGTTTTACAAAAATTCATAGATTTATAGATAAAGCTAGTACATACAATGCCTAAAGCCACTATTACGCAAAGCGTTTCGGGCAGTTTACATGAGTTTGATTTTACAAACCCCAGAAAATCACAGGTGATCGAAACAAGATTGTTGTTGTTGTTTAAGATTCGCTACTTGGAACAAAATTTTCCATGAAGCACGGGCTAAGGCGAGCCCGTAGCTAGAAAAAAACAAGAGTATGAGAATACAAACCGACGTGTATAAACATCATCAAAAGGGAGATTGAAACATCCCATAAATTGAAGGTGAATCTGCTAGGAATGGACTTGGACAAATTCAAGAGAAAAATAAATTTTTTCAACCATGGACAAATTGACTGAGAAAAAACGGATACGAGAATGGCAGAAAATATATAAAAGTAAAGGTAGTAAAAGTAGAAGAAATAAGCTTACTACAACAACAGTCTAGGCAAGAATCATGGCAAAGAGGATAAAAACAGCCAGCAAGCCTTGATTTAATTTTAACTGAAAACAAGACGGGAATAGAGAAGATTGTGCATGAAATCCCAATGTGAACCAGTGACTGCTGTCTAATATTTTAGCTTATGTAGTTGTTTTAAAATCTGTGGAAAAGATTAGGGATGAGGAGAGTGGAAGACATTTCCTATGGAAATGAGAAGCAGAAAATCGAAATAGCACTGGAAATAGAGCTCAGAAAAATGCTTAATTATCTTCTGCAAGATAATAAAGAAACCGATTAGAGGAAGCTTGTAAAATACTTTGAACATGGAAAAATGTGTTTTGTTTCCAAACATTAACTTGGGTTCAATGAATGGAAATCCTGCTTGACCAGCATATGAGTTCTATGATATGACAACAATCAAATTGGCAGCGGGTGGGCAGACTTCCTTGATTATTGAAAAGCTTTGAACACTTTTCCTCACGATTCCTTTTCCAACTTGAAAAACAGGATGGAATATCGGAGATAGTGATAAAGTGGGAGCCAATGTATAGCAATGATAGGGTGGAGATGTTTATCTGTATCAATGTTTGCTGATGATGTTAACTAAACTAATGAGAAAGATAGCAATATAGAAGGAATGCAATACATTGCAAAATGAGCTAAACAGTCTACACAGCTGGTCTGAGAAAATATTGTTGGACTTTGACTAAGATAGGTGCATCATTATGGGAGAGAGGAATGAAAAACATCAAATAGAATACAGACAGATAATGACTTGGGAGAAGGCAAGGGCTAAGAAATCAGGAGAAAGCGTTAAACCATTACGACTATATAGTAATTGAAAGGGACATGAGGCTAAGGATTTGGGATAGGACGGAGAGAATGTTGACAACACCTAAATCTAATATCAGAGACACCCATCTACCGAATAACGTGTATGACAGTGTATGGCTCACTGGAAAACGTACGGATCCCTTTCATAAATATTGACAAAGTAGTCTTTTGAATGCAATTTATAATCTATGCGGGACCCACTCCTGACTATGTTGTCCTGGTACAAAATCTACACCTGCAGCCACACAAAATTTAGTTAGAATTACTTTTAAATTATGAAGAAAAACGAGGAAAGTGGACATTACCACAATTGAAGAAAGGAGGAACAGGGCAAAAATAATAACGACATCTTTATAAGATTCTAAGGGGATTCGACCCAGTGAAAAGAGAAACAATATTTAATGCATACACATCTTATCCAGTTGATTATTTATCCAGTTCCCACATTTATCCATTACTTTAGCTTCTCCAGGCCTGTGTCCATAGTTTTTAATTTTCATCACAGATCCCCGAGTTCAAGACACTGCAATCGTGCAGTATGTTGCTCTCACTGCAAGTGAGAGTTGTGCTGCGCTCACTGCGAGGGAGAGTGAAGTCGTCGCTCAGTGTCCACATGTGTGATGGTGAGAGATTGAGGCGGAGTGGTGGGCCTCTGCGACACACCAGGGCTCCCTATGTGACAGACATTCATCAAGTTGCCAGAGTGATTAAGATACTCATCTATGTATTAGGACATTAAACATGTGCTTCCACTCTGATCACTAATGGGTGCCAACCAAATCAATGTCCTGAGCCCTCAGTCTCAGTGTTTATAATAAGAGTACAATTACCTCGTTAGGAACTCAGGCTGGCAGTTTGTATATTGCTGTGTTCGTCAGCTTTCATATGAACATTAAGTTCACGTAAAAGAAGTGTACAGAAAACAGATATCATCGATATAAGGTGTGTATGTACCTTGTCTCAACTATAAGTAAAGGTTCTGAAATTGATTGACCAATATTAATCATGGATTAGTAATTAATAATTGATTAATTATTGATACTTGATTATTAATTAATAATTGATTAGTAATTAATAATTGATTAGTAATTAATAATTGATTAGTAATTAATAATTGATGAACATTATTATTCGGGGGGACTTTATTGTTATTTGTTTTAGTTTAACATATGGAAAACAATTCTATTTTGACCTGATAAGCAAAGATTTGATTATTTTTATTAATATGAATGTTGTGGCTGCAGGGACATTAAGTGCCTTAAGGGCGCTTTATAATAACAATATTGAAACGACTTTTGTAAAGTTTTCTTGACACACAGCTGCAGGCTCCACCGACACCTTACAGCTGCAGGCCTCCCGACCCTCACAGCTGTTGGACTCCAACTCTTGTTAATAAGAGAACTTGATTTAAGAGTTCCTCTCTCTTTTTACAAGTCTCTCCCCCCCTCACTGTTATATAGCATTCCACTTGTTACACCTGTTCTACAGGTGTTATATAATACCATAGCGACGTGACTGAAGCCCAGTTGTTATACAGGAGCCCGATTGCTATATAGAGGGCGACCGATATTATATCATAAATAATGTAATATTTTATTCAAAAAATATTATATAGCTTCTGATAGAAATGTTCACATAAATGGTGGTTTATATTTTAATAAAGCCCCTGGTCACGTTCAGGCTCCCTAGTTATAACAGAGATTGTTGCTATTGTATACAACCCCTCACTTTGTAGGCTTGAATCTGTCTGCAGCGTTACAAGGAAGCTGAGGTCCTCAACCAAGGAGAGCCTCGCTTTCCTTATAAAGATTCCCCCACAGTAGCAATTTATCCTTCCTGTTTACATTCTGTATCCTTACTCTTTGCATAAAGTACCAAGAGTGTTTATATAAAGTACCCTTATTCTCTATATACAGTACCTTTGTATTCTTTGTACCTTCGCTTTACAGTACCTTTATATATAACTATCGACTACAAAAATATTGATCTAATATCTCATTGAAGTTATAGCATAGTTTAATTTACTCCTTTATTTATACCTTTAGGAATCATTATTCTCAAAACTCTCGTGTCGGATAATTTACCTATATTTATGTTATTGAAATTATATATGTGTTCTCCTAATTTTTGTGCTCATAGGAGCGACAGTAGGACTCTATTCCCAAGACGAACGTGATACCATTTTGTGTTTAAATAATCTAGGGAGAAGTTAACCGGGTTTCGAAAGAGATATGACCTAAATATTATTAAAAAAATTAACTAACATTTGTTTAATGTTAACCTTTACATTTATCTACGGTGAGTTACATTTGTCTACGGTGAATTACATTTGTCTATGGTGAGTTACATTTGTCAACTGTGAGTTAAATTAGTCTACGGTGAATTATATTAGTCTACGGTGAGTTACATTCGTCTACGGTGAGTTTCATTAGTCTACTGTGAGTTACATTAGTCTACGGTGAGTTACATTTGTCAACACTGAGTTACACACCTGAATAATGCTAACAGTTTTCTACGTTTTCCCTTAGTTTAAAAAAAAATGGTGTAATACTCCTTACTGTATTATCGTGGAAAGATTTTATGATATAAAATTTATAACCTATTTACTTCATTATCAAGAACATGGCTATCACATGATGAAGAGAACCACGGGATAGCATGATTCTGACGGCTCCTTACTCAGATTGTGTCCACCTCGTACCATTTCTGATTTCGTGATTAATGTTGTTCCTTTGGTCATATGTGATTCAAGTATCCGCATAAGCTGCTATTATCATAGGTTTTATAACAGTGTGTCTAATCCGGTAAAGAATCATGCATGTTAGGAAAATTAAAACATGCGGGGCACCTAAAAAAACATGAATGACACTAAAAATCATGCATGCTACTTTTTAAACAAATTTGCCTAAAACTTAAACAAATATGTATTACGCTTAAAAAATAAACAAAAACACTACTAGCCCTTAAAAGAAATATACGTGACATCTGTCACGTATATTGACACCATTTAATTATTATGTTAATAATATTAACACCATTTCACACGAAGAATATTGTCTTAGAAACGGTGTACCTTGCATGTTCAGCTTCTGCAATATGTGCCGTAGGGAGACGGTTAATGAGGATTATCCGATAAGGAGACAGTTACCGGAAAGGATTGTTAAATGTTTACCCATTTAAGAGAATAAATTTATAATGACATTCATGACGCGACATAGAGAAGGATATTGCAGTAAACATAATGCTATGACACAAAGCTACATAAAAATCATCAAGAAATTATGATTTGATTGAAGAACCGAAACACGATATGAATGGTAGCTGGCTATATTATACAAAATGGTGAATATCCAGCATTATTGCAAATAAATGAACAAAAGATTATCTGTTTTTGGCGTGAAGGTTGTGGAATTTATAAATGAATACGTTGCTCTCACTCTCCTTCCTTCATATTACCTATGCATACATTCAACTATGTAAGTTTTAATTCTACTGCAAGACATGCAAACATTAATGCTATCCGCAGGAACAATAATGTAGGACATCCAGCCTCCTTTCTCCCTCAACCAATAAACATCTTCCTGGTAAAACATGTGAACTCTTCCACCACCATCCGTGATGGTGGTATCATCGCCACCATCTGTGATGGTGGTATGATACAACACCATCAAATGACGCAGCCAAATTAAAGCAAAACACCGTTGCCCTCATTTAAATTTATAGTGTCATGATTCCCCAACATGCCCCAAACATAACTACACCCCCCCCCCCATCATACCCCTTAGATGCCCTATTACAGGAGCCTTGCTCATGAAAGAAGCAATGACGCAATTAACCATCTGGAATAATGATGCAGGTTTCTCTACACTCTCCATGAGGTACAATGCAAGAGCATCATTGCCAAATTCCTCCACTACAACACTCTCCATGAGGTGAAACGTAGAAGCTCGATGCCACATTCCTCCACACTACTACCACTCACAAAGGTTACATTTCTTCAGGCACCTTTGCCTTGTCCTCCCTCACAAGCCAGTGAAGGACAACGGTGAATACTCCATCTTCATCCACAAGCTAGTGTGTGGGAGGGAGGCCGGAGGGCCAACAATCACAGTCTTGATGGAGATAACAAGGCCTCGCCACTCTACGGGGGATCTCGTCCGCATTAATATTATGGAAATCAGAGGGGGATTATTTTGTCTTGGTAAGGGGCTTGTCAAGTCGACGGTGTACCCCCGCAGTTTCACTCCAGTTCACCACTCACTCCCCACCAGTTCACACCACAATATCTTTCAGTCCACATCAGAGCCGCCTCCAGTCCTCACTACAGTCCCCCTCCAATCTATACCAGTCTCCTTCTAGCTCACACTACAGTCCTCTCCCCAGTCTATACCTGTCCACACCACAGTCGCCTCCAGTCCTCACTACAGTCCCCCTCCAGTCTATACCAGTCTCCTTCTAGCTCACACTACAGTCCTCTCCCCAGTCTATACCTGTCCACACCACAGTCGCCTCCAGTTTTCACCACAGTATCCCCCAGTACATACCACAATCCCCTCCAGTACATACCACCTACCGGTATACACCACTCTCCAATGTACACCTCCCCCCTACTGTCCAGTCCACTTCATCTTCCAGTCTACGCCAATTCAACGTCAAATTTCTGGTGTGGTGTATTAAGTGTGAAGACAGGATGCCGCAACGTGGAACACCAAGTGAGAGAGAGAGAAAAAAATCTTGTTCGTTCCTCATTCACCTTCAAAGTCCCTTGTAGTCGGAGCTCCGAGTCTGTTTACACTCTCAAGTTGAGTCAACACTTGGAGAGTGTGTGGGTACGAGCGTGGCTGTGGGGCGTGCCTACACGTGCCCGCGGATGTGGCTCTTTTGTGCGGTGAATACAATGAAGTTTGTTGTGAATTAGTTTAGTTTGTTTATTATGCACGCCATACCCATCCTGGGAGCGGTAGTGGGAGAAGATGGAGGCACGTGATGTGCTCAAAGAATTGTACAGTATAATTCAGTTAATTAAGTAAGCTACAGTCTTGATAAGCTAGCTATATGATTTAACATATACCAAGTCTTTATAGAACTTAATGAAAATATCAACTGAACCCCAAAGTTCGCATTGTACCACTCCAGTGAGTATGTTTAATGCCCCCAAAAAATTAACAAGCATGAATATATTGTCAGGACAGAGTCTGAATCGAATGCTCTATTATGTGCATATATAAGAGAAAGGCTTATTGTAGATGCTTTGCTTCATAATATATAAGAATCATAAATTGAAGTTATTGACTTGTAAGAAATACAAAGTATTACAGATAAAATGTTACTTGAACACAACTCAGACAAACTGCAGTTAACCGAAGCAAATGATTTAATATATCAGGTTACTGATATATTTTATTACCATAAGTTGTAATAAATCAATAAAAAATTTTCCGTTCCCAACAACTTGTACAGATTCGTCGAGTCTTCTGTTTAAATTTTGTAGCATCTGTATTTTTCATGTAGTCGGTGTGTGATCATTGCCGTCAATAGTCACTGTTAACCACTAAAATTTAATAACATGTCGATATACAATTGTATTTCCTCTCGTTGTATTTCTTTGCTTCCTACTGCAACAACGACTCTTTTTGTATGCTATAATATATATAATTGGTGTGGGTGGTTAAAGCTGGTGGATTTATCCATCCCATTTCATACACTCGAATTCTACGAGCGGTAACGAGTTATAACTCGATCCAGTCACTTGTAGCTTTTACTCAACACGTGACTCACATACATGTGTCTTGTGCGTCACAGGAAAGTAACATAAATGTAACTCTACTATATACATCATCAATTCACACGTGACTGTATACAATATGCCATTCAGAAACATGTGACTATTTTCTCTATATTCGCTAGGTCTATGTAACTCATTGCTGAATATAACACAGGTATATGTGACTAGCTTATGTGCATGCAATTAAGATGTACTCTACTACACATATACAGCCGTGCTTCATGCATTATTCAAGCACATACGACTACTCTATACGTGACACGGGGTCATATCAATACACATGACTCAGAATCAAATGACTATACATAATCCAGGGTTATATGAATACATAAAACCCAGGAATACATGGCTACACATGACCCAGTGACACATAACTACACATATCCTAGAGACACATGACTACACATACCCCCCAGAGATACATGATCCAGGGGCATACGCCAACACGTGATACAGGGTCACATGATGTACGGCCACAGATCTGTGTCACTTAACAACACATGACTCAAAAAGACGTGACTACATATTGATTAAATATAGCCATGCGCTCTGATTTGATTTTATCAAATGGGGCCCAAACTCGGCATGCAGCCTTGACAACACAACACGGATTCACTAATCATTTACGTGTCCACCAATGAGATCTATCTCTCTCATGTCGATCAGGCAAGCTTATTCGGTATTTACTAAACGGTTTACAATCTCCGAATCGAACCGAAGGCATCCATAATAATGTTAGTTTGAGGACGAACTTTTAGCGTTTCGGATCTCTTAAGTTAGCAAATTCCGACTGTTGTAAGTCACCATGATCGAGGCAAGAGTGCAAGATCTCGTATATGGAAACGTAGGTAAGTGCTCTGTGAATTTAGTCATTGTTATATAATTCTTTAATAACGCATTTTTTCATGCTTGAGGTAAAGCCGGTTTGTAATTGTCTAACATTGTGTCAAGCAGCGTTGCTCAAGGGGTGCCTGGGAGTCCTGGGACAAGATGAGGTGGATCTTACCTTCAATAAAGTCATGTTGCTGTTCTGCAACAAAAAAGGAGAAAATGATAGCCTATTTAGCGACCATTATCATTACAATATTTATGTCAATAAAACTAACAAAACAGCTCAATAAAAGATCATGCGGTACACATGAGGTGAACTTTTCCACAGTGGGCACGATGCACCTGACTAATAAAACTTATGAAACATTAACAAATGATAGAGCAACATGTTGTTATGGGAAAACATATGCAATATTCAGTATAAAATCAATGTAAATTAGGCTTCAGAAAGACGCTCTAATAAATAACACGATTTGTAACATTCCGAGTCCAGTTTTGTAATCTTAACCCTTATATTGCTCCAAACGCAATTTAATATTTCCTTCTATGCTCCAGTCGTATTCATCTCTTACATTATTCCAAATCCTATCAGCTATTTCGTGCTGTACTCCAGTCCTCTTTAATCATGACACTGCTCTAAACGCATTCTACAATTACTTTCTCTGCTCCAGTCGCATTTAACCCTTACGTAAAGTAATCTTTATCATTGACAAGTAAAAGGAAACATCTATGTAAGAAGGAACTAGATAACTCTAGATGATGGGTCCTTTACAATAGATCAATGCTCTTATCATGATCTCGTAAATGAGACTTATGTGATTGATGACGCAGTATAATTCAAGCATTATCTCCTTGACAACGCAATATGCAGTACGATCGCCCGGTAATGATAATGCATTTGCACAAAGCTTCAGATCAACCTCAAATAATCCTGATTGGGTTGACTGTTTGATACGAATGTTGGCAGATCAAATTATTTTAAACATTACATAAAGTTGTTAATAACCTTCAGTGTTACCAGTGATATGATAAAGTATGTTAGCTGTAAAATAAATTATTTGCAATTCTCTTAATTTCCACAGCAAGGAGGAAAATTGGAATTTTATATATCTTGGTATTTTTAATTACTTTGAGAAGTGACTGTCTAATTTTGATGTAAATGTAGAAATGGGAAACTAGGAACGAGCACCTGTCTACAAATCTAAAATTCATGTTCCTGGAGTGTAAATGTATCCACAATCTAATTTAGAATAATTATGATTATGAATTGTTGCTATAAGATGTTTCATTGTAAATCAGGATAATATTTGAACTGAATATTAAAGACATGTGGCAGACGTAAACATTTCACCAAGTGCTAAGAAATGCATACAAGGAGATAATAGTGAATGAGAAGCAGATGAAAATCTTTTTCTTTTACCCTAAGGTCCGAAATACTGAAAGTGACGAAGAGATCATATTCCGGAAGATGAAACAAAACGTTGTCACTTCCCTTATTTTCTGACGTATGAGTTTGAGCCACATTATTAAGACTTATTGTTAAATGTTAAATTTTGACAGATTTGATAATATTAACTTGCCATTATTAAATTTGAGTTCAAAGATAATGACATATACCGACGAAATACATAAATATTAGTACACAAATAACACATTGAAACAAGTTAAGCATCATTGGATCCAGTGATGCTTAACTTGTCTGAGAAAGAGATAAAGCATTATTAATTGAGTTGCATCTATATGTAAATTAAGGAAGAATTTGAGGAAAGTTTAAATATTTTGTTATAAGTGTAGGAAGGTATTTATTCTAAGTATAATAATTACCTTCCAAATATTTAGGATCATTCAAATCAATGCATAAAATAACCTTTATATATTTAGTTTAACAATATACATGTTTATTGTTTTCTCACTAATATGAAAAATATATCTAAGAGTATAATAATTACTATACATTTAGCTTTATTTATATATTGTCATAATATATTTTGTCTATAAGGATTGTAAGTACACTTTCCTATTATTGGAGATAAGACTCCTGTTCGTCTTATCGACGTGTCTCCCCCCTTTCTTATTCAACTGCTAATCATCCCAGGATGCAACCCAGAACAGTTGCCTAGCTCCCGAGTACATATTTAGTGCGAGGTGAACAGGTGCAAGAAGTGAAAGGAAATGTTCCTAGGTATCTGTGTCGAACTGGGACTATTCGGTTGTGATTCAATTGTGCAGACTACTAAGCTACAGGAATCCTATTAAATTAATTGTTACATTTACCCAAATGAAATACATGAAGGTGTTAAAAATTCAAGAAATGTAATTATTAGTTAAAGCAAAAAATCTCTAGCATGATCATTTGAGAAAACAAATTATATTTGGCAATATCTATCTATCTATCTATCTATCTATCTATCTATCTATCTATCTATCTATCTATCTATCTATCTATTTATCTATCTCTGTCTGCCTGTCTGTCTGTCTGTCTGTCTGTCTGCTTGTCTCTCTGTCTCGCTCTCTCTCTCTCTCTCTCTCTCTCTCTCTCTCTCTCTCTCTCTCTCTCTCTCTCTCTTCTCACAATATATATACAACAATGTGTCCAATAGGGATTGTCTTATTAAAAACAAAAGACTCTTACCACAAATAATTGCCTAGAAAATATGTTGGGTTTCCCATAATGCCTAAATCCATATAGAAATTTTAAATTTTCTTCATAATTAATGAATGTGTTTGACCATTGATTAATATTACAGTGGTAATGGGAGTGATGTATCTAGAGTGAAAATGGAGAGGAAGTAAACAGGAATTGAATGAAGCACAATTGAAACCTAATATACAAATATTTGCAGTAAATACGTTATCAGAGGACCCAGAAGATGAAAACTTATTCAGCAATCACGAAGATCAAGCTGAGAGGCAATAGGATGGGTGAGTAGCTATCAGGCAGTTCACAGAGTAATTCTCAGAATAAAGATGTTAATTGGAATTAAGATAAAAACTAGGGCCCAGCGACTAATTGGGTGACCATTGAGGAGCTGACATTAATTCCGGATAATATATTGATATGGTGTAAGGCTTGTGTGAGACTCCTGAAAGGTGTCTTGGTTCTGCACAAACTTCGATGTAAATCAATCTTCTTTACAAAAAGAGTTGGATAACGACCTTGCAATATAGTGTAATCTTTTACCGAAAAGCTAATGGCGGGACCCAAGAGCTGAAAACCAGAGTCAACCGAGGGGAACAGATGCAGTACGTAAGCGACGAATAGATGGAACCCAAAAGAACCAATAGATTGCACTAAAGAGCAGAAACAGGACCCCAAGAGTAGAAGACTTGATCCAATAATTAGGACTTGGGATATGAAAGGCAATATCTTAAAACAAACATTGTAAATGAGTCAAATAAATTTTGCAAGAGTAGCAATAAAATAGTACAATAGTGCAAGAGTTATATTGTGCATTGTTACAATATATTAGGGCAGTATAATCCAGCAGCTCCCTGAGGCAATGATCCGAACACTTCACCCACGGTGCAACACAGTGCAACCTTACTGCATTGTTCCTCTCAACATAATTCCTCTGAGTTTTACTGTGTAGCTCAGTTGAGTGTTACAGCGTTTAGACTGCTGCTATAACAACACATATATTGATAGAAACACCATCACTACAAACATCAGTGTCCTCTGTTGCAGGGGAACCTTTTTTCAATTGCATATTTAGACGAGTCAGGTGACAGGAGTCAATATATTGTTCGTATATAAGTCATATATCACCATGACAGCTAACTCCAAAATTTCATTTGAATCGAACATTGGTACGACAGATTTTATATGAGTTTATGGGGTTGCTGGGGGTAAGAGGGAGAGGATGTCAGCTGGTATCAAAGGGAACTCGATCACAGGGATATATTCACTCAGAGGTGTATACAGTATATGCGCTTCTCGGTGTCAGTATACTGAGAGTTTACTTTATTTCTGAGCTATTTTCAAGTAAAAATAATATTTGGGTGGTCAATAAGCTATTATACTGAACGTACAGATCTAGGCAGGGAAATGTTAGTGATTGTCATGAAAAATTTTGAAAACATATTTCAAATTGTACATATGTATAAAAATGTTTAATATTTGTTTAGACTGGTAGTGCATGCAGGATATGACTAAGCACCGTCCTAGGGCTGTATGTCGTGTTTTAATTTAAAAATATCTCGTTACTGTCCTAACATCCGGCTTGTCATTGATGCTCAGGTTGGTATGGGTGAGAGCGTTTATTCATGTGAGAAACGTGTCTAATAGCCCAATATAGTAATTTTATATGATAGGAAATTCTTTCCACTCACATATACATATTCACACATATACACATATATACACACATACACATTCACACAGACACACAGACACACACACACTCACACACTCATTTACACACACACACATATACCCATAGAAGCGCGCTCGCGCGAGTGCACGTGTGTGTGTGTGTGTGTGTATGTAATTACCTAAGTATAGTTACAGGATGAGAGCTACGCACGTGGTGTCCCGTCTAATATAAAAAACATGCATATTACCTAATCCGGGTTTGAACTCGCAACTCCAAGAATACCACTTACACACTTTCCCACTGGGCCACAACACACACACACACACTGGTGTGTGTGTGTGTGTGTACCATACGTGTGGAACTGAGATAATGGCAAGGTATAGAACAGAACTACCTAGAAGGATGGCTGGAATGACCGGAAAACTCAACAATTCAATGGACATTCAGTGGCGCCATGACACAAATCATTCAGCCCGTGTTGCCAATGCAAGCTGGAAAACACCTTCCATACTCACTGCTGCGCTTCTCCAGACGATCTCTCCCAACCTTGAGAAACAAAAACACAATCAACAATGCAGGGAAAATTACAAATAACCCACTAAGCTCGCAATAACATCTTTCGAGAGCTTCGCTGCGAGAAAGTACTTCTGTTTAGATCTAAGATAACATTCTTCGAACCCATTCACGGCCCATGTCGATTTGTTCATAACATTCTTCTTTCTGATCAAAACATTGTTCATCCTGTCATATCCCCCAGAAGGTTGCATGGCGCACTCGCTAACCTCAGTGGGTTGATATCTCTCCTATATACACACTGAAATCACGGTAACGGGAGATCTATGAGAATAAAATCATTGGAGCAGGGCGGCGGGATTGAACCAGCGTC